GATTATCAAAATAAGTATAGGTATAATAATATTTATGTTTATTTTAGGATTAATTAATGGAATTATGTCGATATTAACATTTCATAGGAAGAAAACAAGAGATGTTGGTTGTGGTTATTATCTCTTCATATCTTCTTGGATATCAATATGTTTAATAATTATATTATTAATTAAATTTTGGCAATTACTGTTATCACAAATGACAATTCTTACGAATCGATCATTTGTTAATTTTAATTGTATATTATTAGATGTTAGTATTAAAGTTCTTATAGCCTTTAATGATTGGCTTGATACATGTGTTTGTATTGAACGAGCTATAACTGTTAGTAAAGGTGTGAAATTCAATAAAAATAAAAGTAAACAAATATCGAAATGGGTTATATTAATTATTTTGATTGTTACAATTTTAACACATCTTCATGATCCAATTCATCGTCAATTAATTGATGATATTGATATTGATGAAAAACGTATATGGTGTTTAGTACAATATCCTTCTTCTTCAATTAAGACTTGGAATTCATTTATTACATTTGTTCATTTTCTAATGCCTTTTATAATCAATTTATTAAGTATAATTTTTATTATTATTTCAATTGCTCGTTCTCGTTCAAATCTACAAAGAAGAACACCATTCATAGATCATCTACGATTACAATTAAAACAACATAAATCTCATCTAATAGCATCATGTGTATTCATAGTAATAGCATTGATACGATTAATCCTTTCATTTTCAAGTGGATGTATGAAATCACCAAATAAATCCTGGTTATTTCTTATTGCATATTTAATATCATTTTTACCATCAATGATGACATTCTTTGTCTATATATTACCATCAAAAGTATATAAAAAAGAATTTAATACTTCTGTCCTGCAAAAAATTGGACGAATTCGTGCTTTATTTTAAGGAATGTTATAAATATCGTTACTTAATGTTGTTTGTAATGTTCATAAATACTTGTATTTCAGTTTTAATGCTTTCTAATAATATTAATAAATAAAAAGAGAAACAAGCATTTATAAACCATGGTTATGACTTACTTTCCCATAAAGCGCTAGTAACAAATATAAATCAAAGCATACAAGGTGAGTAGCTTTTATGAACCGAGGGTGTGGGTGTGGGTGTGGGTGTGGGTGGGTGTAAGTGTTCTGTTTAAATCGATAAGGAACACCCACACACACACAACCTCGAGATAGGAATGAGCAGGGGAAAATTGTGGAGAGACATAGAATATAGGATAAAATGAATTTAAAACGAAAGGAAGTGAACATAATGCATGCGACGAAATGATAGAGCGCCCTTAGTGTTTGTTTACTCAATTCTGAATTTTAGTCTTCCAATTAGTTATTCATCAAAATAAGATAAGAATTGATGAACAATGAGGAAAAATGTTATCAAAATGTAATGATCTAATTCGTAGTTCAGAATTAATGAGCTGATAATGAAATCATGTGACCTATTCACAAAGTGTTATTATACTAAACACAAAAAAATAGAATATGAAGAACATCTTTCAAATAATTCATATCAATATGGATTAATCCTTTTGATTACAGGACACGCATATATGTGTGTTGAACTTCTACACATATTATCGTCATTATAATAATACTTAGGCTCCATCGAAAAGACTCCTCTTTTTTTTCTCTTATATTGGCAACATTATTGCGTCATCATCCCGTATAGTAATGTGTGTATTCATATGCTCTCCCTTGCGTTGTGACGCGCCTGCTTCTCAGAGTTGATTCTAGACAGGAAGCGACTCATATCTTTCGATAAATATTCTTACAAAACCAAAATCAATTCTTATTATTCTACATGTGTCTTTTTTACATAACAATTTATTATTCGTATTTATTATGTAAAATTTCTCGCTGAATATGTCAACATCTACGAATAATGATTATCATGAAATCCAATAGGAAATATTGTACGAAGATCTTGTGCGGTTTGTAGTCATACAAGCAGATATGAGAAAAGCATACCGATACACATCATCAGTGTGATATTTGTTTTGAAGACTATCATATTCTGAAACATTTCTAAATACTTTGATATGCTAATAAAATTTATTCGGGATTGTTTTGGAACGAAAAACAAAAAATCCATCTTAATAAAAAAAACCGTAACCAAGGGATTAAATCGAAATTGTCTTATTGTTGATTTTCTTTCGTTAAAATACATATTCATATAAAAATAAAGTAAGTTGAATATAAGTATTTTGTTTACCTCATCATCATTCTCATTAGTTCGTATATCTGATATTATTATAGATTTTGTTTTAGATTCTTTGTTGTTTTTGTTATTTACAGATATGCTCATCTATGTCAGTCATGAACTTACCTAAAAGTCTTTTTGTAAGCGAAATGTAGCAATGATCATAGTTTCTAAATCCAATATATACTATCAAAACAATTAAATCTTATGAAAAACAACACCGTAAAACTAAGAGAACATCTGACTGAAAGGATAATTAGAGTTATCGTATCACTTGCAAGTCTTGTTAACCATAATAAACTAATCTATAAGAGCAGAAAAAAGAGATATTTATTTATATTTGGGATGCAATATTGAAGTGTGTGACAATCCAGTAAAAATATGGAGGAAAAAAGTTCGCGGACGTCACAAGCTGACACTACTTACAGCTAAAATATTGTTTGGAATTTGAATTACTTGTAAAGAAAGAGTAAGACAACTGAAAGTTAATTTGTTTGAAATAATTAATATAATTCTGCACTATTTAAAGCATTAGCGTTACTATTGGATCCACCAGTAATTATTACTTTTCCATTTGATAATACAGATGATGTGTGATAATATCGTGCATTGGTTATGTTACCAGTAGTTGTCCAAGTACCTGTTGATGGATCATACAATTCAGCACTATATAAACTACCAGTACCACTACCACTACTACCACCACCACCAGTAACTAATACTTTTCCATTTGATAATACAGATGCTGTATGATATGCTCGTGCATTTTTCATGTTACCAGTAGCTATCCAAGTACCTGTTGATGGGTCATACAATTCAGCACTATTTAAATAAGCATTGGCATTATCCATTCCACCAGTAACTAATACTTTTCCATTCGATAACAAAGATGCTGTGTGATAATATCGTGTATTAGTCATCCTACCAGTAGTTGTCCAAGTACCTGTTGATGGATCATATAGCTCAACGCTATTTAAAAAACTATTGCCTCTACCACCAGTAACTAATACTTTTCCATTTAATAATACAGATGCTGTGTGCCAATATCGCCCATTATTCATATTACCAGTAGTTATCCAAGTATCAGTTGATGGATCATACAGC